TGCCACAGAAAGCCAAATCCAAATAGTAGAGAATATTCTTCATATTTTATGTCCATTTTGTTTTACCATTAACAGTCTAAAACCGACATGGTATAACATTTCTTTACAAATCTAGAATCGAGCATTTTACATATTTTACACCAATATTTAACAGCTTTTCATATACTCAGCAGCAAAAACCCCGTCAGTACGAATTCAAAATTAGTTAGGAACTGTAATGAAATCATTACAGAAATGGACAAAATAAGCGGATCAAAAACATTTTTGGTGTTCAATATCTTGACACATCAATGAATAACTCAGCACAATATTCAAGACATTACGTGAACGATTGCAGTCCATTCAGACCCTTGACTTCAGTATCTAGTGTGACCACCACGAGCGGCAATAACTGCAGCACAGCGTCTATGCATGGAGTGCACCAATCGATTAATGAAGGCCATTGGCATCTTGAACCACACTCTGAAAAGGCCTGGCGCAATAAATCGTCTGTGTTCGGCTTTGGTATGATATTATTCACTCTCCTCTGAATTTCATCCCGAAGATGTTCAAATGGGATTACATCAGGACTAAGGGCTGGCCACTGCATAATGTTGACACCGTTCTGTCCCGTGTGGCTCTGGCAGTAAAGGCCCGGGCGTTAACATGCGGTTATGACGTGGGGTCTGAGAGCTTGGTCGATGTAGCGTACCGCTGTGATGCCGCCTCCTCTCCCCTGGATCAAGTTTCTGGAACACCACAGGACCCACTTTCTGGTTCAGGCCTATTCCACCCCATACCATGATGCTTGCGCCTCCCAATGAGTCTCTTTCCATAACACATTGGTCTGAGTAACGCTGGCCACTTCGTCGCCATATTCTTGTTCTGCCATCTGCAGTTGATACTCAGTACCGACTCTCATCTGTGAACAGAACAGTTCTCCATTGCCTGTATCGCCAGTTTTGGTGTTGTAGGGCAAGCTCTAGACGTTCACGCCGATGACGAGGGGTGAGGATAGGTCCACGGTAAGGTCTACGGCAATGGAGGTTCCCGATGTTAAGACGTCGGCGAACTGTATCACTGCTGATTGGTCTTCCGTGTGTTCCCACTGTCTGGCGTGCTGTTTCGGATGCCTGCATGAAGGGATTCTGTACATACTATCGCACAACATGGCGGTCTTGTCGTCTTGTGGTCACCCTTGGTCTGCCAGTACGGGGGTGATCATTTGTGGTGTTGGTGGCCCAGAAACGTTGCTGCAGCCTGTAGATGGTCCGAACGTTGACCTGGAAGTAATTGGCAACGGCTTGTGCAGCGTGGCCAGCTTCAAGTTTTCCTAGCGCCTGGTTCCTCTGAGCTGTCGTGAGTCGCGGCATCATGCTGACGTTGTAATGTGAATGTTTCAACCAGGTTTGGGGGTGCATTTTATAGGCCTGGTCCTTGTGAAGAGCACGTGCAGCATGAGTTGCATGAAAACATGGAGAACACCTTCCATCTCAGGTTGCGTTTTTGAGACCATTTCCTGGGTTCCATTCTGAGTTTGGGAAGGAATGTCTTTGCTCAGTTAAAGCTGGAGATGTTGTCAAAATATACAATCAAAACATTAAATGAGTTTACAGGTATCCGTCTCTACAAAGGAAAATTCCAACCTGACGTTTCTTTTGCTGCTAAGTATATATACATACCTAAATTGGATAACGGCCACATTCTCCCGTAACAACATGGTTCGAAGCCGATCGTTTGTCATTTAAAAACCGTTTACAACGAAACATATGTACAGCTTTGACTTCTTTAAATTGATCAACTCCAATATTTCAGCCCAACACTTAGAATTAGACTAAGTTTGTATTAAATATCTTAAAACATAAATCAGAAGGAAATGGATTAAACATGTAAACAGGTTTTAGAATACCATATGCAATTTCTTAGCTTGTAAAGCAGCGTTATTCAGATGGGGAGACCAAAATAGACAACGCGCAAATAAAATGCCCAAATATTTGTAAGGTGAAACTTTATTTGGATAGTGTAATAAAAAGTGAAGTTCATCACAGACATCTAAATTCACACTATGTTTCCATTCTCTACAATACTGGTAAACACATTGAAAGATTTTTGCAATCCACCACTTGTGTCAGCTAATATGACAGTCGTCAGCGTAAAGTAATATCAACAATGTCATAAAGATACCAAGCTGGTCCTCAAAAGGTTTATTTACATGTTCAAGTGACTTTCTAATAAGTCTTATCTGTGCCCTGACAAACATGTGTTGTAAAATAATATGATGCTTGGTCTCGTATGTTTGATAGGTACATGTACATAAATTATTGTTTTTTGATAATATTCACAAGTAAATGTGATCTGGCAAATATATACTAGGCACATAAAGAAACTGTGCATACAAAAATTTAAAATCTAAATTTATGAAACCTGTGTAGACACATAAGGATTGAAACTCAGAGATGAGTGACATGTATCCAACATGCATGCACGTGCCACGTTCCGTGACGTCAGTGGGTTCGTCCTTGAGACATGCAATACGTTGTTGCACGTGCACTCCGGGAAAGAGAAACAGAGCAAATGAATGCCACACAAAACTGTCCCGTGGGGGGAATGTCTCAACGACAAGTGGCTGCATATTTCCACTGCCACCGGAACACCATTTCTGCACTGGTGAGACGCTACCAGAACACAAATGACGTCATCTTTCGGCCACGTTCTGGACGTCCACGTGTAACAACGCCAAGACAGGACATATGGATAAGGGTGACCCATCTTCGCCACAGGTTTCAGACTGCAGTGATGACTGCCCGAACCATCCAAGGACTTCGCCGTATCCACCCCAACACAGTTCGACAACGTTTACGTCATCACGGGATCAGACCACGACGTCCCGCCATACGGCCTATCCTGACACAACGTCACCGACAAGCTCGCCGAATGTGGTGCCGAAATCATGTCCGCAGACCCTTGTTTTGGTGGAGAAATGCTGTTTTTACAGATGAGTCCAGGTTTAACATTTCCCATAGTGATGGACGTCAACGTGTCTATAGACGCGTGGGAGAACGTTATGCACAGGCCTGTGTCTTAGAGAGGAATCGCTTTGGTGGTGGTTCCGTGATGATTTGGGGTGGAATAACAGCACGCCAAAGAACTCCTTTGGTGATTGTTCAGGGCAACTTAACTGGTGTGGGCTACAGGGATCAGATTCATCGACCTGTGGCAATTCCTTTTCTGCAACGTCATGGCCCTGGGTTAACATTCCAACAGGACGATGCCCGCACTCATACGGCAAGGGTTGCTATGGATTTCTTGCAACACCACAACGTTGACTTACTGCCTTGGCCTGCAAATTCACCGGATCTCTCCCCGATAGAGCATGTTTGGGACGAGATGGATCGACGTCTACGCCGTCTTCCTCATCCGCCAGATAACGTCCTTGACCTTGCAACAGAACTTGAGTGAATCTGGCGTGACATCCCACAAGCCTTCCTTGCACGTTTGATAGGCTCTATGCGTCGTCGATGCACTGCTGTTCTCAATGCCGATGGTGGACATACCCGTTATTGAGCTTGTGACATGGTCGTTTGACCCCTGTCCCGCTTGTGGACTCGTGATGTCATTGTGATTGACTTTTCAATTGAAATTCTCCCGATTTGTTATGGTCTCATGATCCCTCCATTAAAGTTTATATATACCTTTGACATTGTTACCGTACTTAACAACTGGGATAATATTTTGACAATGCACAGTTTCTTTATGTGCCTAGTATATGTTGACTATAGTTAATACCTAACTATAGTTAATAGCTAATGTCTTTTTTATCTGGGAACATACATGTATCACGCACACGTCCCTTAACACACTTGTAGACAGAAGCTAAAGCCTTAAGTATCTTAGTTGAAACGCATCTATATAAGAATGGCCCATAGTTTATCCCTGCTAACAAACTCAAAAGCCTTTTTGAAATCGACAAATATACCATAGACATAGACATAGGTTGTAACACTTTGGGTAATTGAATTCTTTTAATCTAAAAGCACATAATTTGATTGCAAGGGAATGCTACTGGTGGTTTGTATCAATTTATGCTGTATTAAGTTATGCTTTATATAGCCGTCGATAAGTTATAAAACTTAAGGCAAATAAAGAATTTAATTGAATTGAGACGGCTGATGCACTGACGGCTCTTGTTGTTGCAGTCGTATGTTAATAGATGCGGGTATTAACAAGGTGGGAGGTTCCGCAATGTACGAATGAATACAGGCAAAACCGGTTTTACAGATCAGATCAGTTTGGTTGTGGCTTGTTGGAGGAAGGGCTGCGGCCATTAGATTGGGAGAATGAAGTATGCGATGGTGAGCCACTGAAGATAGTATTGATGCTTGTTTTGTACTTCAGTAATTTATTGTTTTAATAGTTTTGCCAATGTATAGTAGTGTGATTCTTTTGGCGGATTCGAGTCTGTTCAGTTTGGGTATGGACTAGAGTGAGTTAAAGATTGTCAACAAGACTAGTATGGTACTAGAATATTGAATGAGACTTGGGAAAACAAAATGTCTAAACTCATGGTCATGGTCAAGGCTGATGGAGCAAATGTTACTGACTCTCTTGGTCATGATGGAGAGTGTTAGAATGAGTAGGTTTCCAGTACAGGCAACCCTCCCACCCGCATGTGACACAGAGACAACAGTATCGTTCCTGAAAGCCAAAGAAACAACACTCCAAACAACTCAACAGCCGCCCAAACGAAATAGCCCATTCCTCCCCATATATACAAAGTCCAAACAGCATAGCCTACCACCAAGCAAAATTTGCTTCCAGACTGGTCGATAAATTATAACTGGAAACAAGTGGGAAGTATTATTCGTTTCATGACAGATATTACCCGTATATTACCTGAGAAAGAAATCTTCTGTTGGGTTGCGATCTCACTGATGGTAACCCACTCACATATAATCAAATCATAAACGCTATACAAACTATTCAGGTATGTTGTTTTGTTTTTCATTTGGGACACCCGTTCTTCATTTGGAGTTGTCTTTTGGATCAATCTTATGAACCTTGTTCTTTTCAAACACTACGGAGAAGACAGTGATACATAAGAAGTCAAACACTTCTAACACTGTCAGCAGGCTGGCACCAAGCAACAGACCCAGTGCTCCACCGATGTCACAGAACAGGTCCAAGATCTCATACCCCAGCTGTTTTTCAGTGAGTTCGTAGGTCATAGAGCTCAGATACATCTCCAGAATAACCAGATTCCTCCGCCAGTACTCTTCAGTCTTACCCTTGGCCTTGGTGTACGCAGTAATGTAGTTCCTGGTCAGTGGAGAGCTGGAGTGTTGGGTGATGAACCTGGTATAGCTGCATGGCTCAGGACATCCAGCTTCACAGCCAGTGTCTGTCTGCAGATATCTAGCTTTAGCTGGGACATAACATTCCTGAAACTGTTGGGGTGTGCAATATGCAACATCGTCATTTGGATTTGTATAGTCCCTGCAGTTGCAAATGCTGACGATGAAATCCATCTCACACTCCATTTTGCATGCATCCCGGGAATAGTTTCGAGTGATGTACTTCAGAAACCCGTCTCCACAACCGCCTACACCATCATTTGCGGTCACCTCCTTTGTAACAGAAATATCATTATCAGTTATGTTTACAAAACTTCAACTACAAAATAAGGGTAGTGTAGTATTTTGTTATTTCCTAGTTCTAAATCGTCATTCATGTCCGAAGTACAAGCACAAGTCTGATATCATTGGAGCCATCAGACTTTACATTTACTGTCAATTAACGTGCAGTAGGGTAGATGTATGACATCGTTCTTGTCATTAAGGATGTCTGTTGATATCATCATGTGTGTTTAAATAGATTAATGTTTTTGTCGTCTCTTAATCCTCAAACATCTTTCAACCGCCTCCGTGGTCGCGGGTCGCGGGTTCGATCCCCGACCGCGTCATACCAAAATACGTTAAAATATGGTACTTGTTGGTCCCTGCCTGGCGCTCGGCATTAATGGGTACAACAAGGACTGGTCGGCTCGGAGTCAGTATAATGTGTCTGAGTGGGGTATTCATGCTTCACTGCGGCATGGTATCTCAGTGGGCTAGCACTATAAAACCAGCTTAAGTCTGGACTAGTACAAGCAGCCGCACATACACATACACACACATGCACGTCGTCATATGAGCGAAATATTCTCAAGCACGACGATAAACCCAATTTCGCCTCACATCAAACATCTTTCCAAGGGTAGATAAATATTTGTATTTGAGAACTCTGTACTATACGTAAAATATATATGATTGAGTGAGTGAGTGAGTTAAGATTTTAAGTCACATCGGCAATATTTCAGCCATATCGTGACTAAAGCAAGTTATCAATATATCAACAATTTAAGTGAAATTATAAAATTCTGCCGACGAAGGACAGTAAAATAACTAGATTATCACAGATATAGATATAAAACTAGTAACTAAATCTAAAACATGTGAACTATACAAGACGATACAATATAAAAACAGGCTATTGATCGCCAACAACTGAAGTTAGATCACCATACTAGGGACCATCCCGGGACTTACAGTACAATTGCTTCCTGCATGGACCCTAGCTGGATTTACACCATCCCTTCAGCCATTGGCGACAGAAGAGAAACCTAGCCATAAATTAAAAGTACACATATTCTACGATTAAAAACCTGGTACACTTAAATTGACTAAATGTTTTGGGACTTACGTACCCTCTCAGGAGGACAATAATTTTACGCTACTTCAACCCCCTTTGAGGGTACAGCCACTAACAATATCAGTTACTAATTTAAACTACCAATAATAAAATATATATCTATTTACAAATCAGTTAGCAAGTCTAATTTTTTTAAAAAGGCAATAATTAAATGAGAACTTATATGACTAAAAAGATCCTTCATAGTTTTTACTTTGAAATAAATATCCCTTGTGATGGAATATTCAACACAGTCAAGCAAGACATGCTTGACCGTGATTCGTTCATCACAAGGGATACAAAACGGAGGATCCTCACCTTTCAATAGGTACTCATGCGTATATCTTGTGTGGCCAATACGACATCGTCGTATGATGACCTCTTCAAATCTGGACTGACAACCCAAGTAAGTGTAACCGATATAGGGTTTTATTGCATGTAATTTATTGATACCTACTTGGGTGTCCCACTTCTTTTGCATCAGATCACGGATGTAAGATCTAATGCAAGCTTTGTAATCAGAGTATGGGAGCAGAAGTGGTGTCACAGATTTGTTGAGTGCAGCCTTAGCAGCAATATCAGCCATCGTGTTCCCAGAAATGCCAACGTGGCTGGGTAACCAACAAAAAGACGATGTCGCATTGGCCAGTAGCAAGCTCATTATACAATTCAATAATTTCTAATAAAAGTGGATGTTTGCAAGAAAGATTTTTAATAGCCTGAAGACACGAAAGAGAATCAGAAAAGATGATGTATTGTTTATATTTACGGTGTTTATTAATATATTTAAGAGCGGTTAAGATGGCGTTAGCTTCTGCTGTGAAAATAGAGCCGTTATTTGGTAATCGAGAAGAGATTGTTCTGGGATCCAATGACAGTGGCACATGCCACTGCGCCACCGTCCTTGGACCCATCTGTAAATAAGGATTTATATGTATTATATTTACTTTTTAATTGATTATATTCTTGTTTATACTGTAATTCGTTAGTTTCTGATTTTTTAAACTTTGTCAGGGTTAGGTCAACTTCAGGCCTCACCAGTTGCCAAGGAGGAGAAGAAAGAAGACGGGAAGGAGATATATTTTCCAGCTCAACCAAACTAGACACCTCAACTAAGACCGGACACATCAAGAAACTACAAGAACTCACTGCCTCAGGAACCAAACGCAAGATAACCACAGCACCAACCACAGCACCAACTATCAACAACACAGTCGTCAACCTTAGCAAGAAACAACTCACCAACCAACAGGTCAGTACCCTTGCAAGCCATCAAACAACTTAAACAACATCCTGATATTGTCATCGCCCCAGCCGACAAGGGCAGAGCCACTGTTGTCTTAGACAAGGACCACTTCCACTCCATGGTGGATAACCTCCTAGATGACACCTCAACCTACCAAATGATGAAGAGGGATCCGACTACAAAGCTCAACCGTCAGCATAAGGCCACGCTAAAAACGCTGCATGATAAATATGAACTCTCAACAGACCTGTATCGTAAACTCACAGTATCTCACCCCCAGCCACCTTATGCCAGAGCAACAGTCAAAATCCACAAGAACCCCGTTAAAACTCGTCTACTAGTCTGTTCCCGCGACACTGTATTCTACAGTACTGCCCAGCACCTTACCCAAGTACTCTCCCCATTAGGTAAATCTGCCAACTCCTTCATCAATGATTCAACTGACTTCTGCTCCAAGATCCGTGACATCACCAACCCAGGTCCAATCATCAGCTACGACGTTGTGGACCTATTCACCAATGTACCTCGGGATGAAGCCCTTCAAGCACTACGTCACAGAATTGACAACCTCCAACAACCCCTCAACACCAGCCTCTCTACCGACTCTATCATCAGCCTCACCTCCGCCTGCATCAACTCCACCTACTTCACCTGGGGCGATGCCATCTATGAGCAAATCCACGGACTTCCCATGGGCTCCCCACTATCCCCCATCCTAACAGAAATTTACATGGCCGACCTGGAAGAGAAGGCCCTAGAAACTGCACCCTTCAAACCGTCCTGCTGGTACCGCAAAGTGGATGACACCTTCGTCGTCCTCCAACCTCAGCAAGATCCAAAGCAGCTCCTCGCCCATCTCAACAGCCAACATCCCCGCATCAAATTCACCATTGAAACAGAGCAGAACAACCAACTACCTTTCCTTGATGTCCTTGTGTCCCGCACCTCCTGCAACCAACTCCAGACCTCCGTGTACAGAAAACCAACTCATACGGATCAATACATCCACTACAACTCCAACCACCCACCTAAAGTCAAGACCGGCGTCATCTCTACATTGACCAGAAGAGCCAAAAACATCTGCTCAACAAACCTACAGGAAGAAATTGAACACCTGAGGAAAGTCTTTGTGGAACGCAACCACTACCCACCTGAAATAGTCAACAGAACCATCGAAGCAACGCTTTCACCTCCTGCCAAAAGGTCTAAACCAGAATCAGCCCCCATCAAGATATCCATTCCCTACATTGGTAAACCATCACACCAAATCAGCCGACTCCTGAAACAACAGGCAGGAATAGACACTACCTTCTCAGCGTCCTCCAGCCTCAACAACCTCCTCCATGCCAACGGAAGAAAACAACCCACCGTCAACAACAACAACCCGAAATGTGTTATTTACAAAATAGACTGTGATTGTGGACAATGCTACATAGGTGAAACATCCCGACCCATCAACACCCGAGTCAAAGAACATCGCACCTCTGTTGCTAATTCCGACACCAAATCAGCTATCTCTGACCACATCAAAGCCAACCCCAATCATCAAATAGAGTGGTCCGACATCACCATTCTCGCCAACAACCAAACGGACTTCACTAAACGCAAGCTCACAGAAGCCATTCACATCAAACGCCACAAGCCTACCATCAACCGTGACCAAGGATACTTCATTCCATCTGCTTATGATCCACTCCTCCACCAAGCCCAGTCTATTGTATAAACATCGCATCCATTGTATAAACATCTCATTGTAACTACATCTCTGGCTTCCATTCACTATCCTTTATGTACTTACTGGCTTCATCAGCTTACTGCTTAGCCAATCATGGCAATTATGTTGTTTCCTTTGTCTATTATGTTGTTTCATTGTTATATACAGTATATATATGCAGCTCCTACACTTCATGTATCACTCTTGCTTGACAACGGTACAAGAATCTGTATCGAAACGTCGCACTCACGAAAATAAAGAAGTTGTTATCCATAAAACTTGTTATATATTGTACGTCTCAACTTCTAAAATGCCACTCAAATGAATGTTCGTGATAAGATTATTGGTTTCTAAAACCATACTAGTCGATTATTGACCATGCGTTCCATGGTTTTACAAACGCAGCTTGTCAATGAAATTGGTCTATAGTTAGATGGATCAGTATGATCCCGGCCAGGCTTAGGTATAGGGACAACAATGGCATTACGCCATGAAGGAGGAAAATGTCCAGTTGTCCAAATAGTATCAAAAATACTTAAAAGTGTTTCAAGACATGAGTTCGGTAAATGTTTTAAAAGCTGATAGTGGATATTATCAGCTCCTGTTGCTGTATCATGTGCTTGTACTAAGGCAGTGTTAAGCTCATGTAGTGAAAACACTTCATTGTAGTCTTCACCATTGTCAGAATTAAAATTAATTTTCATTTTTTCTTGTTGATTTTTATATTTCTGAAATTGAGGATTATAATTTGATGAAGAAGAATGTGCAGCTAAAGTTTCACCCAACCTATTGGCAATGTCAGATTTATTAGTTATTATATTGGGTCCATCCTTCAGGTGATGATATATATGATTGAATGAATGAATGTATATTTTCTCCAGAATTAACATCCGTGGATTTACAACTTCTCTGATGTTACACAGAGCAAAGACATTGTGCTTCTATCTATATAAATATCAATACGAGCGTTAGTGACACTCGCTTTATATATATTCTGTGTCATCTATGTACACAAATGACAATTTTCCAGTGCGGCAGATGAAAAAGGGGTAATCGAAAATATGTAAGATATATTTACAGAATATTAAGGATATACTTTCCCAAATTCTCTGGTTCAAAATTCCATATTGTGTTTGAACTGGGCCCCAGAAAAGTGCAAGTATGTCATTCTCTTCCAGAAGTTTAATCTGAACATAGCGGTAGCTGAGCGGGTCAGGCGGCTTTGTGTGCTGGCGATTAGGTGCCTGACTCTGAGAGTGTGAGTTCGAATCCCGGATGGGGCTCAACTAAAAAAGTACTAGAATTTGTACTTTACTAAGAAAGTGTAATCCCAAATATAACACATGTTACATTTGACCACTTTCTAAATGGCATTGTGTAATCGAAGAAGATCTAGCTCATTTCGTTCATTTATGTTATACTACCCGTGTAAAAGTACATGTCTGTCACAATGAAAATGATATCCTCCATATTTGGAACATTGTCGATGTTATGGGTGTGGAAGCCATCTTAGGGAATACTTGATGCAACATCTTAGATGAGGATAATGCAAATTTTGGAGAGAAACAGACCTGTATTTAGATCTATGCTAGATCTTCTCTTATACAAATTGCATAAATCGATGCTTAAGCTGTTGACCACTGGCTTGACTGGTCCAGACTCGATTATTTACTGACCGCGAACATATAGCTGGAATATTGCTGAGTGCGGCGTAAAACTAAACTCACTCCATGGCATCAACGCTTTAATGGCTGTTATGACCGGAACCTGGCATACATGTAGCAGTGATCAATGCTTTATGTTCTTTTCTACGATGACACGTACCCAGCCTTACAGCCGCTCCGTCTGGCTGCCTTTTACAAGCAAATGTGTATTGTCATATTCTGAATTATCTACGTGTCTGCTGTGAAGGCATAATGAATGCTGATAAAGTTTCCGTGAAGGTGAAATGTCCACAAGGCTTCATTTTACCAGTCCTACTGATTACATTGGAGATAAACATCCCGATTTCAACATAGGGAAAGAATTATGTATTGAAACTCGCTTACATGCACTCATTTTACTGTTTCATTGAATTACGTTTGAGTTTGAAATAATCCATTTTGCTAATAACAGCGCATGCTACTTACCTTCACTCCTATGCCAACAAAGTGCTGGGATCCGGGAGCTACTGCCATTCCCATCGCAGACATAATTGGGATCACCTCCGGAGCGTGAACAGCCACCTTCAGGTCAGAACAAACAGAACTAATCGCTAGCAACATACATGTACCTTCATCAACAAAAATATCATCATACATGGGAAATCAAATGTGATGAATTGTATCAGGAAAGAGCATATATTTTGTCAGTCACAGATTCCCTGCTTTCATATTGCATGCTTATAGATAGGGGGTGGGTATTGCAGAGAATTTTCATATTGCGATATATTGCGATTGCATGAAGTATTTTTAACCCAAAACTACTTATAATCGAGTTACTTCTTGATTTATAGAGCAAAAATACAACAAAATCACTAGGCTTGATTAAGCTTTAATAACAACTTTTAATCATAATAAAATAAAAATGTGAATAATATTTGGCACAAATGAAACAAGGACATATCCGAACATATCCGAGTGTTACGAAGTTTTCCGAATGCAAGTCAAAATACCGGTTTTTGATCAGCGTATCGCAATACGTATCGTGTTCATGTCTGAACCGGTAAATACCGGTAAACCGGTTATATTGCGCAGCCCTACTTATAGATGATGGTGATATCTGTCTGCCAATCAGATCAGAATCTTGTAAGAAGATTAACAATAATGAACATATGTTCTTATAACGAGCATCATTCCTCAGGCCAATCACTGTGCTGCAGCCAGTCCCCGATCTATGGTGTGGGATATTTTATGGCTTCATGGTCGCTTGTGCACTAGTAGTAGGGACGGTACGAACAACCAGGAGTCATAACAATTGTTTAAGGGGATGGAGTTGTTTGGTGGGAATGGATTCCAGTTTAAATGTTAATTTGGACATATATGTCATCATTCAAAATATAGAAACATTATACTGACATGGCATTCAGTGTTAAGGTTAATCGGGCCTTTTTACACAATCATTCCAATTTAAGAAATTTGTTATTGACACTCACCATGAACCCTGTTCCAAGGTATCCATCAGAGCTCCGAGTATATTCCTCTTCCTGGACATTTAGCAAGAGGCGCAGACCATTGGCACGTCCGGAATTACGAGCAAGCAGAGAACCATTGACTGGAGCAGATAGCGTATATATGCATTTTTTACTCATTTTCTTGTCTAGTTCAAACTATGGACCCGTGAAGATCCGGGGTAGAATAAGTCTTCAGCAACCCATGCTTGCTACAAAAGGCGACTATGCTTGTCGTAAGAGGCGACTAACGGGATCGGGTTGTCAGGCTCGCTGACTTGGTTGACACATGTCATCGGTTCCCAATTGTGCAGATCGATGCTCATGCTGTTGATCACTGGATTGTCTGGTCCAGACTCGATTATTTACAGACCTCCGCCATATAGTTGTAATATTGTTGAGTGCGGCGTAAACCTAAACTCACTCACTCACTTAAACTATGCTTACACAACACTCGGTTTTCAACAGGATTTGGTAAAATAATCCTCTTCTGGTATATCGGTAATCTCACCTCATTGCCTGGACTCGAAGGAGTATTTTTTTTTACAAATCAAGAACACCCTTTCGGATGTGTCACAGTGCTACTTATAATCTCCATTTAAGTACGACGTTGTGTGATACTCAATTCTGATTGGCTGAGAGCTCATCAATACTTAGCCTTGGCTTATTGGCGAGTCGACTGTCATACAGTATGGGAGATTAATAATTTGCTTGAGAAAATTCAAATGAGTGTACTTGCTGACAGTATAAACTGTATGTTTTGTAATCTATTTATGCTAGTTGTTACAAACACAAGCATATAGGTTCCAGAAATAGAACTCAGCATATCAAATGAAGTTCCTGACGTGACATGTTGTGAATTATCCTCGATAATCTCCTGGGTATACGTTACGATCACTCTCCACTATACCCTGGATGCATCCCCGGCTTGGCCCGATGATACAAACGTTACAATTAAGCTACAACTTTATTTTCACTGTACACTACGTCTGAGATACTAAAGTTTGTAACGTGCAAATGCCAACCTGCTGTATCATCTGTATGTGGGCCGGAGGCCATACATGCGTAATAAACGATTGAACTGAATTGAAAACGAGTTTATGCCACTGAAAGGTGTATTGCTTGTAAGAACAATAAATACAAGACATTGGAAAAAAATGGTCTCCACTCTCAAAAAGTTTAATTAACTTTAATTAACAAATTTCATCCAATTTTGTACACTGTCAGGTTACAGCCATGGTGTTACTTCCCTTTGCAAACAATGTGGCATTCTTGGATTTTTTATCTCAAACAAGCTTGTACTACTGTTCATGCCTATGTGACTGTACTTACTTTCTTTGCTGGAATATAAAATAAATCCCAAAACAAACAAACTTGGTTCCCAAATACTATTCCCCCAAAATTAAATATCCCTACTTATTCTGTTTTAAGATGGTTCCCACACAATTTTTAGTAAATGTGTTTGGTTTTTTTCCCCAAAGAATGTTATTTGTAAAAACCAAGTGGATATTTATCTCCAACAAATTATGCGCGGAAAACACAAGCTCATGCTCTATAGGACATTCACATTTTACATAATCTTTCATTTAAAGGAAAATTACTTTCCTGTATGTATCACTTGTCTCTGTCAGTTCACCGTGAAAGTATACCTTTAGACTGTGAATATTGCATTAATATGTCGTGTGTCTCAAGTTAATTTCAATTTAGAAAGGTATTCACCTTTATGACAGGATACAAGTTTTAATTGTTTGATCGACATTCTAGAAGTTGGTGAGTCAATAACGAAGCATATATATGGATGACAACTTTTTGTTTAATGCATAGGGCGACGTTTCGGTGCAGATTCTGTGTTACAGACCTTGATAGCGGTGTAAGAATCTACAATGAAACACCTCCGTATACAGTAAACAAGATAAGTTCGTATGCTTCATTATACAAGTTTTAACCAAACTAGTCATGTTTTATTTTTTACTTTTTGATAAAAGCCTGATAATTCTTGATAGTCTTGATATCGTACTTTTCCGACTGGTCTATGTTTATGCATTTATCCTATATAATTGCTGCCTTAGCCGACGCAATGCGGTCGTTAAAGCTTTACAGTTTCTGGACTATTGGATCCAGTGCACGCTTTAGCGTCCAGGAATATCCCAAACAGAATGTTCCACTGTATTCAAACCTGGATGCTATCATCCGAATACATGGCGGTAACATTTGCTACTGAGTTTCATGATTTGGATGTCTCCATGACAATATAACTTACCGTTATATGTGAAGCATGTCCCCATATCAGTTTCCTGGTAGATGAAGTCGTCATGTCCACATGGCGCTGACTCCCAGTCACACTGAAAGGAAATACGATGGTTGATAAGAACCATTTACTCTGATAACACATACATTACTGTTAATTTAGTAAATTCTTAGACGTAATACATTAACAGTATAGACAGACTTCTTTCCATGCATTCAGGAAAGCAATATGTTTGAAGCGTTTGTATCATATGCATGTTGGGATTTCAATAAACATAAACTATATAATTATATTACCCAGTAATCTAAGTAACATATGAATGTTGAGTATTCTAATCAATTAATCGTAGTAAAATACATGTATAAATGTTTTGTATTCATCCTGTGTCACATTTTTAAGCGATTTATAGATGTATTCAGTAATGTAACGATACCTGCTTTAAGAGTGTTCTCTATCACAGGAAATCACGATTATTATAACCAAATTGTACAGAGCCTAATAATTGCATTATCCATTAAACTGAAGCGATCGTACGTTGCATGGACTTTAGGCACCCTAAGTTGCCAAAGTATACAACAAGTAAGAGCACAGACATGCGTGCAGGGATAATTCTAACTGAAATATTAATAGCTGGAATAATAAAAAATTCGCATTTCAGGATACAGTTCAATTAGTGTTGATTGCCCAAAACATAGTTCTACAAAGATATTAATTTGGAAATAGAAAGGCTAATTATTGCCAAGCTTACACTTACTATTAATACTCATTCATTCCATTCCATCTCGTTGCTCAAGTGTCCACATGTACTTACCTTAATGATAGTGTTTTCCATGAAATGTCCATATGTTATATTCACTACATATTGTTCATCGGTATAAAACTTGGAGTTGAGCACCTGACTTAAAGTAACATTTGTATGTTCATTGAAATCAATATATGGATACACCGCTTGCACCACATCGCTAAATCCAAGATTCTCAATCAGTGAACCCCTCACGGCATTGTTATTACATATAGTTATGGTCGGAAACAAAATGGTGTTGTCAAGGATTTGATCCACTCTCACGTTGACAGGGACAGACAGATATAAAGATATCTGCTTGTAGATGTTGAAGGTGGTGAAAGAAAGTCCACCACACAAGATGAGGAACCAGACTACACGTCTGGAGATACTGGAATTGGCGTCACATATTTGAGGTAGTCCCTGTACAGTCACCACCTCGTGTAAAGGTTTGTTGCCTTTCATTGCCAGAGAGTAGAAACGTTCGTCAAGATGGCGAGTATTCGAGGTTTCCAGCCCTGCTCAATCAAAGTAATAGAGCGTCTTGTTTTTTGTTGTTTTTGTTTTTGTTGTTTTTGTTGCAGAGTTTTTAACTGGTCGTTCGTCGTGGATTCTGTGCTGGCTGTTCAACCTTGTGACACATGAATGTGTGTCACTACATATGGCTTGTGTTGTGGAGTTTCTTCAACACATATCAAATTTATGTTGACTTCGCTAATTGCTTGATGGTTGACATCATTGGGCTTTTTTATTACATGCATTAGCAGTTGTTGTGCGAAGTCCTTGCTAACAGCTCAGTGTATTTGCCCAGAAAAGGACAATCAATCAGCAGAGAGAGTGTCACTACATATGGCTTGTATTGTGAGTTTCTTCCAAACATAATAGATTCATGTTGACTGTGCTAGTTGCTTGACATCATCGGTTTTGAATCCATGCATTAGTAGTTGATGGCTAATGGCTTTGCAAATAGCTCGTTGTCTTTGCGCAGAAATCCATAAAACATCAGCTTAGTGAAAGTATTTACAACCTCCTCGGATGCGGATGTGGAGACAAATGGGTGGTGGGGAGAGAAAGGGGGTTCGAATAAGGAGGGTGAGGGGTGCTGGGGTTGGGAGGAAGAGATTAAGAGATTGATGCAATTACCCATTCAGTTCACAATACATTCTGGCTATTCTATGGCGTGATTGCTGCCTAGAGCTTTACAGTGCATATTTACCATCATTGTTCCCTGCGAATGTGTATTCTTCAGATCTTGAAATTCTGTAGCACCACATCTGATTTAACTCTGTTATAGATGTCAGCGACTGGGTGCCTGCAGAAACTGTCTGTTGCGGAACACACACATTTGTATATTGTGTTCTGAACTGTTCCCTACTCTGCTTACATATAGTCCGTTTGGCTCAAAAGCGGACCGATGAATTGCAATCTAACTCGAAAACTAATAAACATAAAATACTCAATGAAACGCTGATCATAATCAAAACATCATACCAACTCTGTGAGGTTTTTGCAGAATTTTTGTCCTACAAATAAAAAAGTTGTTTAACAATCTATCGTTAAAATATTGACACAGTTCACTCTTTGTTACGAGGGAGTAGTGCAGAGAAAGGGACAGCCAGGTGTTCGAGAACGGAAGGAGACAGCACAGGTTAATGAATCAATAACTTTGTCTGTGAACGTGCTTCTCTAACACCTGGCTGTCCCTTTCTCTGCACTCCTCCCTCGTAACAAACGGTGAACTGTGTCAATATTTTAATGATAGATTGTTAAACAATTTTTTATTTTTAGGACAAAAATTCTGATCAGCGTTTCATTGAGTATGTTATGTTTATTAGTTTTCGAGTTAGATTGCAATTCATCGGTCCGCTTTTGAGCCAAACGGACTGTAGACATGATTACAATTCCCACGTGACTGCCATACAGTATAGTATGTCATCATAACCTGAAAGTAGAAATATTACCTCATATTAGATGTCAACCAATTGTCAGATATTCCCTATTCCTCTGATATCAAACATACCCTATTCCTCTGATATCAAACGATATAAATCAATCATGTCACCTTATAACAAGCCACAATTTTGCGTGATATGAAATCTCTTTGCTTCCTTTGAAATTGCCTCATTTGACATTGACGCGTTCATATATTTCGTTATTGACAATAGTTCACGCTGCCGTGAAACGTGCTGTTATCCTTATCCTTATCCTTATAACACACATGTAACGTTGCTATGCTGTTTAAAGGCTAAATTGATATGTCAAATGTGACATTTATTCATTTTGTTGAATCAACATTTCAAATAATTTTCATTCGTAAAGAACGGAATCGTTCTATGTATTTACTCTCGAGTGGAGAGTTTTAAAAAAATTAAAAAAACTAGTCTTCACCAGTCGACATAACCGTAGGGTATTAAATTTAATTTTAAATTTTCATGGATTTACATTCTTCTAAAAAAATGAAACTATGTTTCTCATTTGCTGTCCACATATTGTCACATCCGTTGAAAAACACCTGACGTGAAACCAAGAAACAAGACAACAATCTGTTGTACGATTCAAATAGCATTTTATTTACCTTTGTTTTAAAATCAATATACATTTCTGCTTGGGATTCACAGTGGCAAGGCCAGGAATAGCGACGGTAACAATTAGTACAACTGAAAATTACGAACAATGCAATGACCATGACAGGAGTATGGTAACTTTTGTCACTGTACATATCATACGTTTATGTTTCCAGCAAACCGAGTCTTGAATAAGCATTTGTTCTTCAAATCAGAAATCACCATTGTGCTTTATCAAGTCGATTCGACTCCTTTATATCATCTATCCTGACCTACCAATCGTGATCGACACTCATGATTTCGTACATGAGATTGTCTCCTCTATTATTCACAGACTTGAATATTGATATAGCTTGAAAGTAGTATACCACGCAACCCTGGCGGGATTTTCAAGATGACGGCGCCCACCGGTCACGTGATCCAAGATGGCGGCACTTCCGGTAAGGGAATGTACTTCCGGTTCCGGTGGTTCTGGTTCTGGTGTGTAAGTGCGCAGTGCGATGACGTCACCTCCGGGCCAAGATGGCGGCCCATCCGGTGGGATCTTGCGGGGATCTCGTGGGGATCTTGCGAGCGTAGACACCATGCAAGATGGCGAGCCGACGGAACGGACGGGGAAGGAGAGAGGGAGGGAGGCCTAGAGAAGGGTGTGGTTCAAGCATTGATGAGTTTTATAGCTGAGGTTGATGACGTCACTTTGGGCCGTCGGGTTAGTGTGGCGTGACGTCATAGGGTGTGTGACGTCATGGGCAAAACCCATGGGAAAAAAACCATAGGAAAAACCCATAGGAAAAACCCATGGGCATGCCCATGGTAAACAAACAAAAAACAAAACACAATGGAAAAACCTATGGGAAAAACCAATGACGTTGTGTATATAACCCAGGCGCAGCGTGGGTCTTGTCAGTTCTCACCATGTCGTCACCACGAATGAATGAAGCAGAGGAAGAAGAACTTGAAGAGGCGCCCGTGCCCTACTGGTTGGAACCGACGTCCCAAATAAACAAATAAACACTCATCGCTATACGCTGATCCATCTTGGTTGCAGCGTCAACAACCTGAAGACCTCCCCATCGTTCTCAGAGAGCAGTTTGATGCTGTCTTGTTAGACCTGAGAAACAATGTGAACGGCCAGGATGGTGATTGCACGGAATTGATCATGAACCATCCAGCCCTGGATTCACCCATCCCCATCACGTTACAGCCCATGGAGGACCTCCAGGTGGAACACATCATGGCCGGAGTGGAAAAAGTAACCGCGAGTTGCATATCGATGAGACCATGGAAATACACTTACTGCATTTAGACAATCCTGAATGTATAGGCCAGGGACACGGCTTGGCCAAGGCACATTGTCGGCTTAAACGCCTTCCTGGAAAAGAAACAATGCATCGTACAAATCAAGAATGAGGATCAACTCTGCTTTGCCCGTGCCCTGGTCGTGGCCAGTCACCACAAACACAAACCCGATCCTGTGACCAAGGAATGGACGAAGGAATGGAAACGGCTTTGTGATAGTCGCAGTCCAGTTCAACTGAAGGCTGCCAAGGGCTTATTTCGTTAACTCAAGATCTCCGAAGGCCCTTGTACAGGGCGTGCCACGTGGGAGTTGTTCAGTCAACGTTTGGCGCCCTACTACCAACTCAATCTACTCCCCAGATGTCATGAATCGGCTCCTGTACAAGAGTGAAGTGCCTCAACCCACCAAGATCCTTCACTTGTATCATCACCATCAGCATTACGATGTCATTACGTCCATGACAGCCTATACAGGCTATCATTACTACTGTGAAATCTGTGACCAAGGATACGACCACCCAGGAGATCATCCCTGCCCCCGAGAATTTCGATGCCAGTGGGGACGTGGATAATGAAGGACTCTCCTGTCTCCATTGTGGCGGGTGGTTCCGAAACCCTTACTGCTTTCAACGCCATCGGACAGCCTGCACTTCGTCAACGAGGAGCCCGCGTGTGTCATTTACGAAACTCAGCCAGAATTTCACGACCCACATCCCGCCCACAATGTGGTCATTTCAGCCTGGGTGACAGCACAAGCCCGTCTCAAGCTGTATTCCTACTCGAAACCCTTGGATCGACGCGTCCTCTATTTTGACATGAACAGTATCATCTACATTCACCCTCCACTAAGCTACAACCGTACACTGGGAGATACCTTGGGGGAGCTGACCGATGAACTGGGAGGCAACAGCATTCAAACCTTTGTCTAGGGAGGACCCAAGAACTACACCAACAAGCTGCGCCATCCTCAACCTGACGGTAGTGTGGGCACAAGCAAAGTCCGAGGATTTACTCTGAATCACAGGGCGAACCAATATGTCCACTTTGACAGCATAAAGAACCTCGTCTGTCAGAGGGATCAAAACAGCATCACTGTCCCGTACCCACACAAAATCATTCGTGGAGGACTTCGCCAGGGCAACCTAATATACCAAAGGGTATCGCCCGGTCTACACCAAACGTCGAGTCCATGACGACCCACAAGGCATCAATGTGGAAACTCTCCCCTATGGCTATAAAGAGTGAACAAATACCCATGAACTTTTGTTGCTGACATCCTCTGTTGATGTACTGTTGTTGATGTGCTGCGTCGTCTCTCTCTTCAGGGGCCAGACCTGGTGGAGTCCATGGTCACCCTCACCCCTTTTTTTTTACCCTGTTAGGCTCAGACCTGGTGGATGCCATGGTCACTGGTCACGTAATATATAAGTGCTGTAATATAAGGGAGGAGAAGGGAGAGCAGAGTGGTGCAGTGTAAGCGTGCTGGGCTCATAACCCAGAGGCCCATGAATTGAAATCACGCTAACGACAATGTATTTCTTTTTCTTTCTATGTTGCGAATAAAGCGCTGATGTTGCTCTTTATGGTTGACGCCATCCATTG